ACTAGGGACAATTTAGACAGGAGCCAATTTACCTACCAGCGCGTCTTTGGAGTGTGGGAGGAAACTGGAGTACCCGGAGAAAACCCACGCAAGCACAGGGAGACCATACAAACTCCAGGCAGGAGGTTCTGTGGTTGGGATTCGAACCAATGACCCTAGTCCTGCCAGGCGGAAGTGCTAACCATTTAGCCACTGTGCTGCCCATATATACAGGCTGATTTTATATGTTTAAAAAGTGTGGTGTTTATGTTTTCTGGCACCTTTCAGAGTGCTGCTTTCCAAGTATTTCTCTTTTGTTGCACGATTTCATTTGATATGTGAACGCTGAACGCAAAAGGTACACATACAGAAAAACTCCAATCATAGCCACCCCAGAGCTGCTCCTTAAGGTGAGCAGCCAATCTCTTATCTGGTTCTTTAAAGCCCGGGACCAGGGAGGACTTATTCAAGTTGGAAATGGCTGGGTCAACAGCAGGAGAACCCAATTGTTAGTGTCTTCTCCACAGGATATTCCTGCATGAAACGCTTCTGTGTTGAAAATACCTTCTCCGGGGTGAGCCAAATCGACTTACATCATTTCCTGCAAGTGAAGATTTATAGGAAGAGGTTTTGGCAGCTGCCAGGATCCAAATCTAGGGACGTTTGCAGAAGAGGACACTGGAAGTGGCAATTTCAGGTTATGAAATAATAATAAGCAAACTTGACTATAAATCAATAATAAAAAATAAATAAATAAATAAAAATACAAAGTCCCATACACCTAGAGTCCAAATAAAGTCCAACTTAAAATCCAAATCCAAAAAATTCTTGCAGGTGATTTCCCAATAAATCTTTATCCCCGAATAAGATTGATGGTATACTCCAGAAAATCTTCATATACATTAAAATTTGATGAAAACAGCTTCCATATAGTGAGATAGTCCAAGATAACGCCACTCCTCAGCGGTAACTCTATTTATATGGCCATACCACTCTGAAGGAGAGCCAGGCAAAGAATGGAAGTCTCCAGGGTCGGAACAGCCGCGTGTTCCAGAACCCAAAATGGCCACCACGGCACTTCCGGAAAAACGTCAATACGTCACCACATCACGTGCCCCGGACGCGTTTCGTCACATCCGGACTTTTTCAACAGGGAATTTCAAGTTAGCTTGCACCACGTCTGCCAGGAAGCCCATTGTGGTCTTCTGTGTCTGAGCTGGCCCCAGACCCCAAGACCTCAATCACACTGTATGTGCAGAAAAAACGGACATGCAGATTTCACTTGCAGAGACATCTGCGCTCCAATGAGTTTATACACGTTGCAGATTCCTGAGAAGAAAAAAAAACTAGTCTTGTGGTGTGAACATGGAACATAGAACAGCTGAAGGTGTTGTGCCCTCGCAGACCGTGTGCAGAAAAATGGACGTCTCTACACCATGGTGTCAATGAGGCCCAAGATCTCTCCTAGCGGAACTCTATAAACAGCTTCCTCCTTCTCCAAGGGAGCACTCACGCTAGCATCCCGGATGTTCCAAACGAGTGAGAACCCCTGGGAGATGTTCCAGCAAACCAGAAATGGCCACAGAAAATTCCACCCTTAACACAAAGGAACCTGATGATTGTCCCCTTGTGACAGCCCCAGAGACAGTAGAAATACCAGGTGAGGGCGGGGCTTTAGAGCCAATGTGATCCTTAGGGGAGTCATTACTGAACTAACTACAGGAGGTCCTCCGTACCTGCTAAGGGGTTTGAAAGACCATCCCACCATCCCCCGCCACTCTACCTGCATAATGCCATGGCTTGCTGCGAGTTATGAGGCCTATAACACCAAATAATGGAGTGGCCAGACAACTGAGGAGCATCAGCCCAAGCCAGACACTTAGGGGTTGATTTACTAAAGGCAAATAAACTGCAAAGTGCACTTTCTCCAGAGCTTAGTAAATTAGCAGAAGTTCTGCCAACTTCCATCATCCAATCATGTGTAAGCAAAAAATGCAGTTTTATTTCTATTCTCCTTGCACATAATTGGGTATTCTTTGCAAAGTGAATCTTTACCTCATTCACTAAGCTCTGGAGCAATCTATCTGGAGCAGTCTATTTGCCTTTAGTAAATCAACCACTTAAATGGCAAGCCTGCCCAGCATGCAAGTTTTGCAGTAGTTGTGGAGTCCTGGTGCTATTGGCATGCTGCAGCTGTGCCTGTGCTGTGGCTGGACTAGCGCTGCAGCTGTGCCTGTGCTGTGGCTGCACTAGCGCTGGAGCTGTGCCTGTGCTGTGGCTGCACTAGCGCTGGAGCTGTGCCTGTGCTGTGGCTGCACTAGCGCTGGAGCTGTGCCTGTGCTGTGGCTGCACTAGCGCTGGAGCTGTGCCTGTGCTGTGGCTGCACTAGCGCTGGAGCTGTGCCTGTGCTGTGGCTGCACTAGCGCTGGAGCTGTGCCTGTGCTGTGGCTGCACTAGCGCTGGAGCTGTGCCTGTGCTGTGGCTGCACTAGCGCTGGAGCTGTGCCTGTGCTGTGGCTGCACTAGCGCTGGAGCTGTGCCTGTGCTGTGGCTGCACTAGCGCTGGAGCTGTGCCTGTGCTGTGGCTGCACTAGCGCTGGAGCTGTGCCTGTGCTGTGGCTGCACTAGCGCTGGAGCTGTGCCTGTGCTGTGGCTGCACTAGCGCTGGAGCTGTGCCTGTGCTGTGGCTGCACTAGCGCTGGAGCTGTGCCTGTGCTGTGGCTGCACTAGCGCTGGAGCTGTGCCTGTGCTGTGGCTGCACTAGCGCTGGAGCTGTGCCTGTGCTGTGGCTGCACTAGCGCTGGAGCTGTGCCTGTGCTGTGGCTGCACTAGCCCTGTGTGCCTGTGCTGTGGCTGCACTAGCCCTGTGCCTGTGCTGTGGCTGCACTAGCCCTGTGCCTGTGCTGTGGCTGCACTAGCCCTGTGCCTGTGCTGTGGCTGCACTAGCCCTGTGCCTGTGCTGTGGCTGCACTAGCCCTGTGCCTGTGCTGTGGCTGCACTAGCCCTGTGCCTGTGCTGTGGCTGCACTAGCCCTGTGCCTGTGCTGTGGCTGCACTAGCCCCTGTGCCTGTGCTGTGGCTGCACTAGCCCTGTGCCTGTGCTGTGGCTGCACTAGCCCTGGCCCTGTGCTGTGGCTGCACTAGCCCTGTGCCTGTGCTGTGGCTGCACTAGCCCTGGCCCTGTGCTGTGGCTGCACTAGCCCTGGCGCTGTGCTGTGGCTGGACTAGCCCTGGCGCTGTGCTGTGGCTGGACTAGCCCTGGCGCTGTGCTGTGGCTGGACTAGCCCTGGCGCTGTGCTGTGGCTGGACTAGCCCTGGCGCTGTGCTGTGGCTGGACTAGCCCTGGCGCTGTGCTGTGGCTGGACTAGCCCTGGCGCTGTGCTGTGGCTGGACTAGCCCTGGCGCTGTGCTGTGGCTGGACTAGCCCTGGCGCTGTGCTGTGGCTGGACTAGCCCTGGCGCTGTGCTGTGGCTGGACTAGCCCTGGCGCTGTGCTGTGGCTGGACTAGCCCTGGCGCTGTGCTGTGGCTGGACTAGCCCTGGCGCTGTGCTGTGGCTGGACTAGCCCTGGCGCTGTGCTGTGGCTGGACTAGCCCTGGCGCTGTGCTGTGGCTGGACTAGCCCTGGCGCTGTGCTGTGGCTGGACTAGCCCTGGCGCTGTGCTGTGGCTGGACTAGCCCTGGCGCTGTGCTGTGGCTGGACTAGCCCTGGCGCTGTGCTGTGGCTGGACTAGCCCTGGCGCTGTGCTGTGGCTGGACTAGCCCTGGCGCTGTGCTGTGGCTGGACTAGCCCTGGCGCTGTGCTGTGGCTGGACTAGCCCTGGCGCTGTGCTGTGGCTGGACTAGCCCTGGCGCTGTGCTGTGGCTGGACTAGCCCTGGCGCTGTGCTGTGGCTGGACTAGCCCTGGCGCTGTGCTGTGGCTGGACTAGCCCTGGCGCTGTGCTGTGGCTGGACTAGCCCTGGCGCTGTGCTGTGGCTGGACTAGCCCTGGCGCTGTGCTGTGGCTGGACTAGCCCTGGCGCTGTGCCTGTGTGTGCCTGTGCTGGACTAGCGCTGGAGCTGTGCTGTGGCTGTAGCTGTGCCTGGACTAGCGCTGGAGCTGTGCCTGTGCTGTAGCTGGACTTGCGCTGGAGCTGTGCCTGTGCTGTAGCTGGACTTGCGCTGGAGCTGTGCCTGTGCTGTAGCTGGGAGCTTCTTACTGTATGCGTTTCCATGTCAGGGGAAAGAAAAAATTGCGCCTGCGCTTGATGACATCACCCGACTTGGGAGAGTTATGCCTGGGTGGGGAATCCTTTTTTGGCCAATGGGTTTCCACCTGAAGGTGGCAGCATAGCCTCAGTAGTCATGAATATGAGGCACCCTATATTCTGTTAAGATGGCAGCGTGGGACCAAGTGAGAGCGGAGGATCACTACAGGGTGTTGCAGCAGTCACTTGATATGCGAGTATGCTGGTTAAGTATAACTCAGCAAACCAGAGGGGATTAGTAGATTAGAAGGGCTTGGGGGGGGGGGGGAAATCCAAAACCTATCAGGGTGGGGGCTGTGAAGTTCACCTGCTTACAAATCCTTTTAGGGCCGGTTCACACTACATGCGTTGCAGTTGCTTTTTTTTTTCCTGCATCCAAAACGCACAGAAAGTAGGTTATATGGTTGTCAATGTCATAGTTCACATCAGTGCTTGCAGTTCGCGATGTAGAAAAGAAAAAAAAAAGAAAGAACAGGCTGCATTTTTCCTGCACAGAACAGTACTGGAACGCGGAAAATTGCACACGTCCCCATTTGAATTGAAGAAAAAGGGGGAAAAAAATTAAAATGTACCCGGAACGCATCAAAAACCCACTGAAAAGCGCCAAAAACGTGCATGTAGAATCGCATCCGGAACGCATTTCTTCAGTGTGATCCGGCCCTAAAAGAGCAAATTATTCCCCAACTGTTGCAGATAACAGGGGTTCATCTTCTTCAATACGCCTCGGAATCTTTGTTGTAAGATTACGAAGCTGATGATTCAAAACGAGCTCCCATCCTAGATTTGCCGAAAAAGCGACCCATGAACCCATGGTCTCACCGAGGTGTGTCTCCGCAGAGTGGATTTATCGGTGAACGTCCGCTGGCACGCTATACACATAAAAGGCTTCTCTCCGGTGTGAATGCGGTTGTGCCTCTGTAGTGCGTTCAGCTGAGTGAACTGCTTTCCACATTGATTGCAGCAATACGGGCGTTCTCCTGAAAGCAGAGAGGAATACATTACGCAACATTAGCACCAAGCGCGGTTAGGGACCTCCTCTGCGCACATTGGCACGCATGAATGGATGGATTAACCCTTTCTTGTCCAGGGGTCAATTCATTTCAAATGTCCAGCCCAAATTTAGCAGCAATAGTATAAGTTGGTTCATTTGACTACAATGCAAAATTTACTCACCTAAATAATGCTATACATTTTTTTTTAAGTGGAACTCTAGTCAGAAAATTAAGTCCTGCGAGATGACTTCAGGCTGACCCCTTTTGCAGGTATAGCCGTTTTATGTAAAACAATAAATATAAGTGAACAGAAAAATTCAGCGCCAATTGTAATAATATATATATATATATATATATATAAATAAATAAATGTCAGAAATAAAAATCCATATGAGTCCTCAAGTAAATAAAACAGGTTGCTGGAGAAGATACTGATGTCATAAGCCATCACACCTGAAAAAATAATGAGCCCCTTACCAGACATTCGGATCATATAACACCAGTAAATACGCGCAAGTATAGGATGGTTGTCCCCTTTAAGGATCTCCAAACCTTGAAGAAACTCTCATCCGATAGAGAAGGAATAAAGAATAAAAGCAACTCATAGTGCAGTACTTCATTAAAGACCCCTGATGGATGACGTCTTTCTGTTGACGAAACGCGTTGGTCGAGCTTCAGCATGTGACATCACCATGGTCTGGAGGGACAGTGGCCATATTTTTGGTTTGGTTTTAAACAATTCATATTCAATGCTGGGTTTTTTTTTTCAAACCAAAAATATGGCCACCGTCCCCCCAGACCGTGGTGATGTCACATGCTGAAGCTCAACCAACGCGTTCCGTCATCATAAAGACGTCAGGGGTCTTTAATGAAGTACTGCTCTATGAGTTGTTTTTATCCTTTATTCCTTATCTATCGGATGAGAGTTTCTTCAGGGTTTGGAGATCCTTAAAATGGGACGAACCATCCTATACTTGGGAGAGGATTTCTACTGAAGATTACCTACCACACTGTTTCCTTATCACACTGCGCATATTGACCGGTGTTATATGATCCGAATGTCTGGAAAGGGGCTAATTTTTACAGGTGTATGGTGACGGCTTATGACATCAGAATTTTCTCCAGCAACCCATTTTATTTACTTGAGATTTTTATTTCTGACATTTTATATATATTAAAATTAGCGCTGCATTTTTTCTGTTCACTTCTGTAATATCGCCTTTTGTGTGCTAGCTGCTATTTTGCTTTATTGCCCCTTTTTCTAAATTTGGAGTGTGTTTTTATCTAAGCGCAGGTTTTGTGTTTTATAATAAATATAAGTGCCTATACTGTTTAAAATCCAGTAATACACTGTCTCACCCTGCTCTGCACATGCTCAGATGCTCTCTATTTTTGGCACGGTGCTGAATTTGTAGAGGCCAATCTGCTGACAGCCTAAAGATTTACTGCTGCTAAGGTGCTCTGGGCTTCAGCAAAAATGGCTGCCTCCAGCAAGAAGAAATAGGTACAATGCTGGAGGCAATTTACAGCGCACTCTAATTTTGGTGGCATAAATTATTAATGTGGGATGTATGTTCCTTGCTAAAGAAGATTATTTTTTATCAAGTTGTTTTGGTAAAAGGTCTACTCTCACATTCTTGCCATTTCTGTGTGCCATGATGAAATAATTCCTGGGCAAATGCATTACGTCAATGCAGGCTAAGATGGTACAAGACTCCAACCCTAGAAAAAGACAAAGGTCAAGGCTGGGGGTGGAGCTTGCAGACTTTGCATTGCTGGAGCGGAGATGAGCTCATTTCCACTGTAAAAAAAAAAAAGTATATAAAGGAATTTATCTTGTACACTATATTAATAAATAAAACTGCAGTGGATAAAATAAGACTTTTTTCAATTATTTTTTTCATACTGTAACTGTCTCAGACAACTAAAGTATTAAACAAAGACACAATGCCATTTACAGGCAGCAGTGGCCTCTGCAAGCTGAAATAATTTTCCTCTGTTTAGAGACACTTCTGCTTGGCTTCCTGTAGTGTCTACAGGACCAGAAGTAAAAGGACAATCTCGCAATGGGGCACAGAAGGCACAAAAATGCCCATGATCAGCCTTAAGGCGGTAGTAAAGGTCTATAAAAAGAAAAAAAAACAAAAAAACCAGACAAATTAAAACACAACCAGCCCCGCCACAGCCTCATGTCAATGTACTAGGATACACCACATTATCATAGACTTACCCAAAAAACAGATCCCTCCAGCGGTGTGCTGTCACTTCTGACAGGGAACCCATGCTCACCCGATCTTCCTTCCTGGTTTGCGGGCTCTGGCCATTTGAACAGCCAAGCCAGGATGACATCACTCCCATGCATGCACACGGGTGTAACGGCCGCAGCACAGCTCTCTCAATGGACAGTATGCAGTTCATTAAAAGTGAAATTTGCATGCGCCGGTGACATCACTGGCTGCTGCACATGCACATATCCACTAAACGGTGCTCATTTAGGAGATATTTACAGTACCTTTGGGTAAGTCTTATTATAGGCTTACCTGTAGGTACAAGTACACTTGCGGACCAATGATGTACCCGTATGCTGCTGGACTTTAAGTGGTTATACCGGGGTAATGCTCCTTCAGGGGGAAAAAATTCCTTCCTGATCCCCCGAGAGGCAATTGGATATTCCCTGGATCAACTTTACCTATAAATGTTATATCCAGTTATATTCTGTGTATCCAAGAAAGAATCCAGGACTTTCCTACAGCAATCCACTGAGCTGGCCACACCCAACTCTTGAGGATCATATCCCCCCTCATGTATTATACACGGAGATCGTATCCCCCCTCATGTATTATACACGGAGATCGTATCCCCCCTCATGTATTATACACGGAGATCGTATCCCCCCTCATGTATTATACACGGAGATCGTATCCCCCCTCATGTATTATACACGGAGATCGTATCCCCCCTCATGTATTATACACGGAGATCGTATCCCCCCTCATGTATTATACACGGAGATCGTATCCCCCCTCATGTATTATACACGGAGATCGTATCCCCCCTCATGTATTATACACGGAGATCGTATCCCCCCTCATGTATTATACACGGAGATCGTATCCCCCCTCATGTATTATACACGGAGATCGTATCCCCCCTCATGTATTATACACGGAGATCGTATCCCCCCTCATGTATTATACACGGAGATCGTATCCCCCCTCATGTATTATACACGGAGATCGTATCCCCCCTCATGTATTATACACGGAGATCATATCCCCCCTCATGTATTATACACGGAGATCATATCCCCCCTCATGTATTATACACGGAGATCATATCCCCCCTCATGTATTATACACGGAGATCATATCCCCCCTCATGTATTATACACGGAGATCATATCCCCCCTCATGTATTATACACGGAGATCATATCCCCCCTCATGTATTATACACGGAGATCATATCCCCCCTCATGTATTATACACGGAGATCATATCCCCCCTCATGTATTATACACGGAGATCATATCCCCCCTCATGTATTATACACGGAGATCATATCCCCCCTCATGTATTATACATGGAGATCATATCCCCCCTTATGTATTATACATGGAGATCATATCCCCCCCCCCCCTTATTATACATGGAGATCATATCCCCCCTTATGTATTATACATGGAGATCATATCCCCCCTTATGTATTATACATGGAGATCATATCCCCCCCTTATGTATTATACATGGAGATCATATCCCCCCTTATGTATTATACATGGAGATCATATCCCCCCTCATGTATTATACATGGAGATCATATCCCCCCTTAATCTCCTCTTCTCAATAAAGAAGAGGAGAATAAATTCAGTTCCTCTAATCTTTCCTCATAGCTCAGCTCCTCCATGCCTCTTATCAGTTTGTTTGCCCTTCTCTGTTTTTTCTCCAGTTCCCCAATGTTCTTTTTGTGAATTGGAGCCCAAAACTGAACTGCATATTCCAGATGAGGTATAACTAATGATTTTTGTACCGGGGAAATGATCTCTCTCTCTCTGGAGTCTATACCTCTTTTAATACAAGAGAGGATTTTGCTCGCTTTAGAACCCGCAGCTTGGAATTGCATGTCATTATTAAGCTTGTGATCTACCAGAACCCCCAGATCCTTCTCCACCATTGACCCCCCCCAGATCCTTCTCCACCATTGACCCCCCCCCAGATCCTTCACCATTGATCCCCCCCCAGATCCTTCACCAATGACCCCCCCCCAGATCCTTCACCAATGACCCCCCCCCCCCCCCAGATCCTTCTCCACCATTGACCCCCCCAATCTAAAGTGGTAACCTGTAAAGGCTTTTAAAATGTCGCCTATGGATAGTACAGTTTACGTTGTTTGTCATGGAGCTCAAGTTGTTAAACAGTGAAGTTTATTCTCGCTTTAAACCTGAACTTTGAGCATACATTTTGAAGCCTCTTTACAGGCCATAGCTGCTATGCAGAGCCATACAAAGCAGGGGGGCGGACTGACAACTCATGTGGCCCCCAGGCAATAGGGGATCATGGGGCCCGTGTTCTTGCCCAAACTCAAAAAAGCCATCAGGGGCATCTCATGGGGCCCCCTACTGACCCCAGGCAGTGCCAGAGTTTCCAAATGGTCAGTCCGCCCCTGATATAAAGTAATGTGCAGAAGATGACGAGAGAGAGATCTGCATTGTTTATATAAAAAAAAGGTCTCTCCCCAGTCTGACACACAGGGATCACCAGGTGCCGGCGGAGAATCACCGCCCGGGACCCAGTGATTGACAGGTGAGGCCGCCAACCCGGAAATGGAAAATCACACGCACACTTTTGAGCAGCCCTGCCGCCCTGTAGCAGTATTTCTGCTATAGGGCAGCGGGAAAGCGGTTAATAAATGAGCAGAAGCTCTGCTGACTTCCATCATCCAATCATGTGCAAGCAAAAGTGTTTTTTTTCCCCCCCCAATTTTCCTTCCATCTTTATCTCATTTACAAAGTTCTGGAGTAATTGCGCTTGTATAGTGCACAGTCTATTTGCCTTCATTAAATGCTTTCACACCTGAACATAAAACAAATAACGTCCCATCTCCCTGCCGCCCTCCTTTGCAGGATTCAGTTGGTTGTTTCTTACCCGTGTGAACTTTAATGTGCTGATAGAGAGAATTCCTCTGAGCGAACGTTCTGAAGCAGATGTCGCATTTGAAGGGTTTGGCTCCGGTGTGAATGCGGTTATGATGCTTTAAATATTCTTTTGAGGCAAAGCTTTTCCCACACGTCTCACACATAAAAGGCCTCTCCCCTAAGAAACATAAAAGTCATCAACATAACCTGGGCTGATTTTTTAACAAATTATTGGAAGGTGAACAAGGGAAAAAAAAAAATAAAAAAAAACACCAAGAAACAAAACAAAAAACCCCCCAAAACAAAAACGCAAAACTGGCTCTCTGCCCAAGAACAACCTCAAAAAAAAAAAAAAAAAAAAAAAAAAAAAAAAAAAAAAAAGAACCATTCCCAAAGGCACATATCAACAAACAATAAGGATCTAACCCTCCCCTGGCTCCATCCAAGACAAAGGAAATTGTTTGGGGTGGAGGTGGGCCTTAACATGGTATTACAAAATTTAATATAAAGCAGTTTACCGAACATTAGATTTGGCAGCTGCATTTTTTCCTTTCACCTGGTGATCTGGCCAGTAACGCACCACCTATATTACAAGTACCCCCACACTGGATGAAGGAGCACAGGGGGCACCTTTGGACATGGTCAGTCTGAGGGGAATGTTAGATGTACTACCATATTTATATACAATAACAACCTGAAGCTGAACTCCAGCTCACAATTTATCCCAAAATAAAAAACCTGTTTGCTGTAACTAATTAAGTCAAATGAGAGCGCATGTGATCAGCACTGTCCAGACAGAGGATCAGGGGTTCTGCATCCTCCCAGAGCAGGAAGAAAAAAAAAAAAAAAAAAAAAAAAAAAAAAACTCTTCCTACAAGCTTTAACCACTGCTCTGCTGGACACTGATAGAAGTCACAAGGCTGCTATATACTGCTGATGAGAAAAGGTATTTAGCAGTTTATATTTACATTTTCCTATTGTGTGTACTGTGGGAGACCGGATACAGTGAACGCGGGGTCCGGGGGAGACCGGATACAGTGAACGCGGGGTCCGGGGGAGACCGGATACAGTGAACGCGGGGTCCGGGGGAGACCGGATACAGTGAACGCGGGGTCCGGGGGAGACCGGATACAGTGAACGCGGGGTCCGGGGGAGACCAGGATACAGTGAACGCGGGGTCCGGGGGAGACCGTGATACAGTGAACGCGGGGTCCGGGGGAGACCAGATACAGTGAACGCGGGGTCCGGGGAGACCAGATATAGTGAATGCAGGGTCCGGGGAGACCAGATACAGTGAATGCAGGGTCCGGGGGGGATACAGTGAACGCGGGGTCCGGGGAGACCAGATACAGTGAATGCAGGGTCCGGGGAGACCAGATACAGTGAATGCAGGGTCCGGGGAGACCGGGAGAGACCAGATACAGTGAATGCAGGGTCCGGGGAGACCAGATACAGTGAATGCAGGGTCCGGGGAGACCAGATACAGTGAATGCAGGGTCCGGGGAGACCAGATACAGTGAATGCAGGGTCCGGGGAGACCAGATACAGTGAATGCAGGGTCCTGGGTTTAGGAACACTTTCACTCTCTCAATCAAACATGGACTATTTGCAATCCTTATGTTGCTAACATTAGTAAATAGATAGGAAGGTATATCATATTTACTTGTTTTAAACTTTTTTTTATACTTTTCTTCAGTTATTTCCTGGTTTCCATGCCTATGGCAAATGATGTCATACATCCCAGGAGTCTTTAGGAGAGGAGGGTTCTCAGCCCAGCCTGACCTAAGGGCAGATGGATTCCAGGAAGTAAATGCTATCATGAATCATCTGCCCTCACTCAAGATGGCCACTTCCTAAAATGTCAGGGGGTGTTTTTCAAAGTGATTTCTCAGCAAAATAAAGCATGGAGACATGGATGGATGGGGGGAGTTTGCTTTGAATATTAACAATGAATTAAATAGCATTTTTTGTCTGTGGTGCTCAGATGCAGTGCAGTTCCATTTTCAGCAGCGATATTTACATCAATCTGCATTCTGTACTATGCATTGGGCCTTAGAGCTGAAGTTTCATCTCCTCTGGCTCCTTCTTTCCCCAATCATCAACATGCTAATGACCTATTTAAATACATTTTTCCATTTTTCATTACATAACTTATTTTAGACCCAGTAACATCATCACTAAGTCTCTGTACTTGTCTATGCATTGCAGAGAGATCAAGGTTGGTGGGAGGGGCTGGAAAATTGCTGAACATAGCTTCCCGAAAACACCTCTGCAACCTGCCTACATAATCTTCTCCAGAGCCCTCAGCTCTGAGGCAAGCAGTAGGCTGGCCCTTGGGAGGAACTATGCAAATTATTATTATACAGTATTTATAAAGCGCCAATAGTTCGCTCAGCGCTGTACATTACAAAGGGGGACAGAACATGTGACAGAACAATACCAATACAATGCAAAACATGAGGGGATCGAGGGCCCTGCTCTTTCAAGCTTACAATCTAGGAGGGAGGGGATGGTGGCACAGGAGGAGATAGCTGTGGGGGATGGAGTGGTAGGAAGAGTGGAGGAGGTCGGCAGGTTAGCAGGGGGTGGGGTAGGCTTCCCTGAAGAGATGGGTTTTCAGGGTGCGCCTAAAGGAAAGGAGAGTAGGTGATAGTCTGATGGGTTGGGGCAGGGAGTTCCAGAGGATGGGTGACACCCTGGAGATGTCCTGGAGGCGGGCATGGGAGGAGGAGACCAGGGAACTAGAGAGAAGGAGGTCTTGTGAGGAGCGGAGTGTGCGTGCTGGGTGGTACTTGGATATTAGGTCAGTGATGTAGTTCGGGGCAGTATGGTGGACAGCTTTGTACGTCAGTGTTAGGATTTTGAATTTGATCCGTTGCGCAATCGGAAGCCAGTGGAGGGATTGGCAGAGGGGGCTGGCGGAGATGGAGCGGTTGGAAAGGTGAATGAGTCTGGCAGCCGTATTCAGGATGGACTGAAGCGGGGATAGCCAGCGGCGAGGCAGGCCAGTGAGGAGGGAGTTGCAGTAGTCGAGTTGTGATATGATGAGGGAGTGGATGAGCTGTTTAGTGGTTTCTGGGGTTAGGAACGTGCGGATTTTGGCGATGTTGCGGAGGTGGAGTCTGCACGAGTTTGTCAAAGATTGGACTTGGGGCTGGAAGGATAGGTTGGAGTCCAGAATGACACCAAGTACTCTGGCCTGCAGGGTGGGTTTGATGGTGGCGTTGTTGGATGTGATGGAGAAGCCAATGGGGGGGGTTGTCCGGGCTGGGGGGAAGACAAGAAACTCGGTTTTGGAGAGGTTCAGTTTAAGGAAGTGGAGCGACATCCAATCTGATATGTCGCTCAGTAGGTGTGTGATTCGGGCAGAGACCGAGGGGGTGAGGTCTTGATGGGTGGGTATCAGTCTGGAGGAGTGGGCGTGTCCTAGGAAGGCTGAGCTTGCATGCAGACCACCCCAGGTAATGCCCGCAAGTGATGCTGTTTTTCAGGTCCATATGCATGAGGCCTTAAAGTGGAATTAAACTTCCAAAACTGTGGGGCAGGCAGCTCTTTATTGCAGAATAGATGTGCAATGTCTCTTCTGCAATAACACTTCCCTGCTCGCCCTCTTCCCATCATCACATGTAGAGCTGCACATTCCTGGCAAACTCCGGCTGTGCTGGAATGACTGACTCCCATGTGGATGACGTCATTCCACCACTGGCCAATCAGGAGGCTGAAAACCCGTCACCTGGAAGTAGCCAGGAAGGTGACAGCATCTGGTGAGGGATTTAGCCGACACATCAATGGAAGGTGGACGGGAGTCTTCCTGGTGGTTTAGTTTCTGCTTTAAGGCCTGGTTCACACTCCATGCATTTCAGTTGCATTTTTTCTGCATCCAAAATGTAGAGAAAGTAGGTGATATGATTGTCAATGTCATAGTAAACATCAGCGCTTGCAGTTCCAGTGCGTTACGGGTGCAGAAAATAGGCTGCATTTTTTCTGCACAGAACTGTACTGGAACTCGGTAAACCGCACCAGAACGCACCAAAAACGCACATGTCCCTATTTAAATTGAAGAAAAAGAGGAAAAAATGAAGTGGAATGCATAAAAAAAAACCCAAAAAAACTCACTGGAACACGTCAAAAATCGTATCAAAAACGTGCATACAAAAAACGCATCTAGGACGCATTTCTATAGTGTGAAACAGCCCCAATATCCCTATTATGCCCAAAAACCTTCAGCATAAAAGTAAAAAAAAAAAAAATTTATATATATATATATAATAATTGGTGCTCGGCCTCCCTACTCCTCACATACTTCAGAGCTCCTTCTACAAAACACACACGCACTTCCATTTGCTCAGAACACCACATTAATGACCACGTACCTGTGTGACAGCGCTTGTGATAGATCAGCATGTGGTTCTGGGTAAATTTGGCTCCGCACTCCTCGCAGGCAAATGGCTTTTTCTCCAGTGTGAATTCTGGGAAAAAAAAAAAAGGTTTCCCGTATTAAACAAAAGTTTTGTAGAAATCTGATGCTTCACATGTGGTGGCCACTCTCCAAATGAGAACCTTTTTTGGAAACAGGTACATGACATTACTACTACTGAATCGCTCGACTATTCTCCGGTGCAACACCTCCCTCGCCGCACATCCATTCCAAAAACAAACTATTCTAGGGGTCACTCTGCACATGCTCCGTTTTTAGTGTGTATTACTAGAGAGTTTTATTTCATGCATTTCAATGTCTGGGTGTACTGTGGAGAGACCAGAAATAGTGAATGCGGGTCCTCATAGGGAGAAGCGGATATAGTGAATGCGGGGTCCGGGGTAGAGCGGGATAACTAGTGAATGCGGGGTCCGGGGAGAGCGGATATAGTGAATGCTGCTACAATCGCAACAAATCGCCACCCTCAACATGCGGACAAATCGCACGACCGCGACCAAACAATAATACGTCACGCTCAACAGACGGCGTCAGACCCTTAGAGATCTTATCTCACCAAACTCGTGACCAACAGGACCGTGGCCGATCTAAAACTCGCGGTGTGACCGCGTAAACAAAGGCCACACCCAGCAACTGCACCCTGCACAGCAATTGTCCAGCAGCTAATGGGTGTACAATCTGTGCCTGCAGCCTGAATGCGGCTGGTTTACTGGGTCAGGTTGTCAATTA